CCCCTCGCCTTCCCTGCCACGGGATCGGGGGGAGCTGGAAGGGCGACAGCGAGGAGAGCGCGGGGGTCGAGGTAAGATGGTTTCACAAGAGCAGCATTGGGCTGCGCTTGCGTGACCTCGAGCGGGCACCGTCTGCCCGGTTCTCCCCCGCCCCGGGAACGGCCTCTGGCCTGGCGAGGGCAAACCCCCGGAGCGGCGCCGGCCAGGGTTTCCTAAACCCCGCTGACGGGGAGCCCCCGGCAGCACGTTCTGCTGGCAAACGCCAGGCCCGGCTCCCCCTCCCCGGGAAAGGGAAAGGTGGCTCGAGGGACAGCTGGAAAACAAGACCCGAAACAGAAAGTCCCGGTGTTTGGGGGTACAGTCACGCGCTGTGACCCCGACCGCACAGAACACGCAGCTCCCAGGTTAAACGGTTTTTCCCTCCTTGTGTGTTTCTGCCGCGCGCACCCTGCACGAGGCTCTCGCCAGGCTGCGCCCTGCACCCGCGCAGGGATTTTGGGAAGGCGGCGAACGCTGCGTTTTGTCGCTCTGGTCACCGAGAACTTGTCGCTGACAGATGAGGAGCGGCACCGACCGCCAGCACGTCGATCCGGGTCAGCCTCCGTGCTCCCTGTCTTCCCGCGAGGTTCAGCGTCGCTGGGGATGAGCCTGCGCGAGACGGCTCCGCTCCCGAGGGTGCGGGGCAGCGCTTAAAAACTGTTCTGCTCCTTGGCACCGCTCTTGGGTCCTGGGGCAGACCCCGGGGCACAGCAACCCCTGCCGAAAGCGCGCGGCATGCGTGCGAGGTGGGAGAGGTGGGCAGTTGCCCACAGCACAGGCTGACACATCAGTTTGGGCCAGAAAAAGAACATTATCCTTCCCTCAGTCCTCAGGATTTGGGAGTTCATGTGGGCTCAGTGTATCTAGCAGGAGAGAAGTGGTGGGGCAGCATGGAACAAGGTGTCCAAGGAGCCACCTCCATGGGCGCTTAGAGGGGACACTGTCCCCCCCGGCACTTTCAGTCCCGTCGGCGAAGGAGCAGCTGAGAGCTCCGGGGCACGGTGCAGTTACGCTGCCTGCCCGGTTTTCCCCCGGGAATTGCTGGGCATCCAGCCGCCTTTCAGGTTTTTGCTGTGCTCGGTGCTGGCCCTGAACTATCCCTCCTCCCCCAAGTGACTCTGCGTGGGCCGCCCGGGGGTGCCCCCAGGACCACGAGTGTGGCGGCTGTTCAGCTCGCGCTCAGCGAGCTCTGGGTCCGTTGCTGTCAGAACAACCACGTTCACTTTGAAAAACGGCCAACACGGAAGCTGCTTTGGCTGGGGACGCGATTCCCTCGGGTTAAATTTCTGACCTGAGCGGGTCTGTGGCTGCGCGTCGCGGGTGAGTCAGTGCATACGGCGATGCTGGTGTTTACCAGAACAAACAGCGTCTTGTCCCAACGGCGAGAAGAAGAAAAAAAGGACCTTTATTTATAAAAACAGACAAGAGAAATAATTTTAAAACATTATCTGGATTTTATTTGGAACTTAGATGTTATCTCTAAAGAAATAAGGTCTGAAGTAGACTGGAAGGTGACAGGGGGTAGTACCCGGCACACAGAGTTTAGAAAAACAGCTGCCAGGATCCTGGTTTTCTCCACGTTTTATATTCGTTGTTTTCCCAGAGGCTTTGGATATGAGAAACTGGACGTCATCGAGAAGTGTTGTCAGCAGCTGGGCCAAATATTTCATCAGCTTAAGCCTCTGTCCGGACGAGTTTCTGAAACAGAAAGAGCAGCGAATGTGGCCCGCCAAGATCCACAACCGCAGGGAAAGGCCGGGCTCAGCCGCGGTCCCTGGACCGTACCCTGAGGCTGTAACCTCCGGCAGGACCTGCCCGGGGACAGCGGCTTCGTCCCTCTCCTGCAGGTGCTCCCCAGGGCAGGACACGCCGTGAGCCCTGTGCGAACACTGACAGGGAGCGGGTGTCTCGGGCGCCCGAGCCTTCCTTGATCTTACCTGGAAGTTTTCTTTCACCTTGGCTCTGCTCCTGACACCAGCCCTGCATGAGGCAGGTGCTCGTCCCTCGGGGCGGGGAGCAGCTCCATCAGCGCCAACCGCCCAGGAAAACCCGTGTCTCTGCGGTGGAGCCCGTCCTTGAGCACTTGGAAACTTTGTGCTGGTGTCACCCAACGTGGGGCCAAGGGACGCTTAAGTTAAAGAATCCGGGTGCTCTCGAGGCTGCACAGCTACCGACATTTATGATGCCAATAAAGGTGTGAATTACCAGCAGGTTGACGAGGGCCTTCACGTGCTCGGGAGACAGCCCGTCGATGCACTCCTTCAGCGCGGCCAGAGCAGCCCTAGTCAAACCATCGACTTCGTACTGAGAAATCGGGCCAGCGTACAGCTGCTCGGCCGAGCCTTCGAGAAGCGTCTGGAGAAAGCCGGGGACGATCTCATGAGCAGAGCCACCTCCTGGGGAAGGAAAGACGAAGCAGAGTGCGATGGGCAAAGCGGAGGAGAGCGATGGACGAACCTTCCGCTTGCTCGGGTTCAGCTGCTTCTACCCTTCAGCGCCTCCATCCCAGTAACGACGTACCAACCACACTAAGGTTTTGCTGAGCCTGTTCTCAGCTTTGCTTTGACCTTTTAAAAAAAGCTTTCAGAGAAATGGGTTCTGATGTTGCTACCTACACAACTACCTACAAAGGCCGATTTTGAACTTATGCTTAAAATGCTGCTCTTCCAACATCTTGCTAGGTTTTCCAGGGCTACTCCTGCAATCTGATCTCCTTTCCGTGTTCTCTTTGTGTGAACTGCCTTGGTTTAGTCACTGAGCCTTGATTTAAAAATAATCAGCAGCACCAGCCTGCTAAGTTCTGTCCCTTCTAGTAAAATTCTGGGGGGGTTTCTCCTTCTTTTATTGTCATCTCTGTTCTCAATTTATGAGATTTAATGCGAGTAACACATTGATTAAAATCCGTATCCTTTACGTGCTTTTATAAAATCATCAAGTTCTTCAGCTGCTGAGATAGTTTAGGCTGCCTTACCAGGGCACAGCCCATGCCTGCTCTCCCTGCTCTCGCTCTCATGGCAGTAACTGTGTCCTTGGTTAACAACCCCAGAGGAGTCAACCAGGCTGTGACCTCACCGCCGGCCCCTCGACATGCTGAATGACATCGCCTCTGGGGCTGTAGGCGTTTCCAGCCCCCAAGTTTACTTCTTTCCCCATGTTTATTTTCCGTTTCCTGATGCTTTGGCGTGGATGTTGCCGCAGATCAGGCACCTTCGTGGGCTCAAGGAGCCAAGCCTAGAGGTAACGTTGGGCAACGGTCGTAGTTACCCCTCCCTGAGTAACAGAGCCTGTTCGTTTTGCTGGAGGCTGAGTCTCCACGCCGGGTCTAGCCCCTGGGAGCAGCAGGACAGACCGTCCCACCTGGTGTCGGTGCCTGCGCTGCGGAGAGGAAGGTTGTCACCAGCTCCAGCCCAGCTCATCGATCCAGAGGAGAGGCAGGGTGGGCGACCCTGCCCGCCACTGCGGAGACCAGGTTTGTCCAGATGAACCCTACTGCAAGTGACCAAGAGGAAGAACCCTCAGAGACCGTACACAGGCTGCTGTGATCAGTGTTTTCTCACAGGCCGGGTACCTGCGTTTCCTTGTCCTCACCAGGAGTCTCAGTGGGGACCAAGGGGGCACCTTTTCTGCCAGCGCGGACGCGGCACGCTTCCTCTGCGGTTTTAAACGAGGCATCAAGATGCCTTTCAAGTGGCTTCCCAGAGCAGATTCCACCAGGTGCTGCTCTGAATGGTTCGAGTACTTGGTGCAGAAGTTCAACGAGTTAAAAGTTATTTAAAAAAAAAAAAAAAACCTAAAATCCTATTTTTTTAATCGGCAAAACTTACCAAGGGAGCTGCAGAGCACCATGGTGACGAGCAGAGCGACAGCCAGCGTCACAGCGGAGCGCGCCATGCTCTGGGCTGTGCGTCGAGCTGCCAAGGCCCGTGAGCGTCCTTTGCAAGCGAACGCAGGAGACCTGGGGTATTTATGTGGGGCTGAGCAACGCGGCGGGAGGACGGGCCCCACAGGTCACACAGCTGCACCCAGCTTGGCTCCGGGTCGTGCGTGCATGGAGCGGACCGATGAAGAATGGGGGTGACCTCCGCTTTCATCCCCCGCTGGCCCCAGGACAACGGGCAGAGTGCTCTGCTCGGGAGCGTTCGCCCTGGCAGCGCCTGTGGGGTGTTCGGGGCCTGGAGCTCGGCACGAGGCGTGAGATCGCTCGGTCCCTGCGAGACGCAGAACTGCGAAATCAGCGGCCAATAACCTGCATCGAGCTGTTTTATCCAGGCACTTTCGAGCTCATTTATTCCAGGCTTTTGGTGTGATTTGAAGCAGAACTGCTGCCACTTTCCTGCATAATTATCCTTCTATTGTTTTCCCTGCTTCTCTTGTGCAATGCCAGTTCTGCAGGGATGAACACGTCTTTGTAAGCATCGTGATCTGTGACCCAGAAATTATATATGTGCGTATGTATATAAAAGAGAAGGCTGATGCATGACCGAAAATAACCACGCATTAAGGAAGAACATCACCAATAGCTTCTGCCATCCAGATTTCCAGCTGCTCTTTGCCAAGCGTGCGCTGCTGAGGCAGAGAAATCGCCTCCATAAACTCCGAACTGGCAGCTGAATCCGATACCTTGATAATCTTTGGAATAACATCCCAGTGCCACTCCTGAACTCAAAAGAAAGCAAAGCCTGCTTTTAAGGTCAAAATTGACGGACTGTCGGCCAGCCAAAGCGATGTTCAGCGCAGATGGCCAGTTCCCAAGTTACGGACCCAGCTCTGCTCGCCGGCAGCCAGCGGGGATGGCAGCCTCCTCGCCCTTTCCTCCCACGTGGGCAAAGCCCAGCCGATCTCCATTCTGCCCTGTGCTTCACGTGGCTGGAGTTGCTCCTGGCGCACGTGTGGACCTCACCAGGGCCCGAAGGTGGACGGGGTAAGGAGGCTGGGAGAGCGAAGATGAGCTCCGCGGACGTTCCCGGTGAGATGCGAGCCGTGACTGACCGTGCGGCGCCGCGTTCTGCTGCGCTACCGAGCTCTGAGATCGCCCTGGCAGAAGGAAGTGGCGATGGCCGTGTGCGTCCCGGAACAAAATGAGGTAGGAGAAAGGAAGGGCCCCTCTGCGGACATGGGGTGTCCTCCCTCCTAGCTCCTTCTCGAGGAAAGCGGGAAGCGTGAGAGCCTCCCCCAGAGCTCTTGCTTGAAGAGAAAGCAGCACTTGCCTGTTGGGATAAGGAGCACGGTCTCAGGAGGCACCCGCTGTCCCCGGAGCCTTGGGTTTTGCTCCCTGCAGAGCACGCCGCGCTGCCCGGCAGCAAACGACGAAGGCGTCCTGCGGGATGCCCAGGGCACAGGCTGCGGCCGTGCTTGCGCCGCTCCGTTTCTCAGCTGCGAGTCGAGGGAGTTGGGTTTGAAAAGCTCGGGGAGGTTCTACCACCAGCTGTCCTGGCAGGAGCTCGTCCTGATTTTTGCATCCCTGGAGCTGATCCCACTGGAAGCGAACAAGGGTGCCCTCGAAAATTAGGTGGGTTTTTTGTGTTCTTCTGGTTTTAAACAAAGAACGTAATAACTCTATTTTAAAAGTGTGAATTTCAGATTTGCCTCCGTTGGTGACAAGCAGCTTAACGAGGTCGGTGGTGAACGGGAGGGAAGCACCTCCTGTCGTGGCGTACGCACCCCGTCATTATCCTCACCCTGGAACCGGGACAGCGAATGGCCCCATCACCAGTTCGGGGACATGTCAGTGCTGGGGCGGCGGCTGCGCTCGCCCCGCGCCGTGCTCCGGCTTCGAACGAGTTCTCGTGCCGAGCGCGGGCGTTCCCTGGGCGCAGCTGGAGCCTCACGAGAGCTCACAGCGTAACTTCCTAAGGACACGAGCGGAGATGTACGGCCGCCTCATCCCCGAGCCCTTTGGGCTAAAGGCTCACAGAAAAAGGCCGAACGAACACAGTGTTCTCAGGGCAAGCAGCAGCAGGACTGGGCTTGACCCGGCACGGGGGATCGTCCAGGTGTTTGCTGTTCTGGGAGCGACGTGCAGAGCAAACAAGCGCCTCGGGGGACCGGCAGCCGCGGCACGGAAAGCGCTCTTGGTGCTGGGAGTGGAAAGTTGCCAGCAGAAACCAGAGGAGCCCATTTCACCAGGGCAGGCGCCTTCATCCCACCGTCATTCCAACGGGGCAGGTGATGGACCTGGGGAGAGCCCCCTCCCCAGACCTCTGCCAGCCCCTCAAACCGGTGGCAGCGCTCGCTCTCACACCCCCGCAGCTTCCAGCGAGGCCCCAGTTCCTTCCCACCGTCCTGCTCCTGGCCCATTCCCAGTCACAGCCGCGGTCTTTTCGGGCTGGTCCAGCTGCCAGCTGGGGGTCCAGCGCCACGCAGCAGCAGCAGCCTCGGGCAGGGCTGCTCCCCTCGGGCACAGCCAGGGCCTCCGAGGAAGGACCACAAGGCACGAGCCACGAAGGACGCAGCTACTCTGCTCCAGCTGCAGAACAGCTGCACAGGCCACGTGTAACTGGAAGGATAAGGGACGCTCAGGTGTCTCGTACAGGGACACTGAGGAGGGCAATACAGGAAAGGCAACGCCAGAGTAAGGCACAGTGTAACCGGGCAGGGGCACTGGGCACTGAAGCTCCCTAAGGCTTGGGCTGCGAGGCCGAGCTCTCACGCAGGCTTAAAAGTGATTTTTAGTATTTCTGTTTACTTGAAACCAGCTTGTCTTGCTAGATTTCCAGCACCTCTGAGCCCAGACAGGATTGGGATCCCACCTGAAAACAAGCCTGGGGCAAACGCTGTGACCTGCCAGCGACCAGTGACCCTGCAGCTGCGCTGGGAGGCCCCGGTTCACGTTCCTAGCCCTGGTCCTGCACTGCTGAGAACAGCTGGTGAGAAAAGTCCCTGCCGCCTTTTTTAAATTGTTCTAAGCAAAGCTGAACCATGACAGCTTAGCTTGGTGGGGCTGGCTGCTTCTCCTACATACCTGCTGCAGTCGGCAAGGTGTCGTCCCACCCTGCTTACCTTCAAGGACGAGCCTGAAGCATCCGATAAGCAAAAGGCTCAGGTAATTTTGCTGAGATCCCTGGTATAAAATAGGAGCTAAACGGCTCAGAAGGAATACTGTGAGTGTTCGCTTTGAGGCCTTCCTGAGGCCAGAATCTGTCTCATCATTGCAAGTGATACCTGATGGTAAAAATCAGCTACAGATTTTACCATCGTTACTAAGCTTAAGTGGTCCTTGAGGGCTGGAAATGGCTTTTCTCTCGGCCAAGAATCTGCCCCCTCAACCTTTTCTTTGGCTGTTTGAAATCCCAGTATTCCTTTTTCACAAGGTATCCAACACTCATGATTAAAGAGACAATATTAACCACCCCACCACCCTCCCCTTTCTTTTGTCTTTTTGACTTGCCAGTAACTTGCAATAAACTGGTAGCTACTGGAAAAGGCTCTGGTATCCCACATTCCTTGGACCCTAGGGGGTGCAGGGTGAAGACAGGCTGCCTACACCCCCCAGCCTGCCCCTCAGCTCTGTGACGGAGGGTGCCACTCACCCTGCCCATACCTGTACCGCTCCCTTCTGCGGGGTGACCTGCCCCAAGCCCCCAGGCTGACCGAAGGGCTTCTGTCCCCGGCTGCTCAAGGACGGGCAGGCGAGCATCCTGGAGCCAGACGGACGAGGCAGCCAGGTCGCCCCAGCCAGGCTGATCTATTGGCACCGCTGGGCGCCTCCCCGGGTTCGTACAGACCTGCAGAGCTCTGCCGTCCTCCCAGCCCGTGCTCTGACAACCACGTTACTGCTGTCCCCTGCCCCCAGGTACCTCTGAGAACGGAGGTGATCTGCACAGGCAGTGTCTGGAGAGCCTCATGGACAGGAGAGTGTCTTGTCCATAGAGCCAAAGCCAGGCACAACCTGCCCTTTAACATTCTCATCAACATCACCACGTGGCAGCAATCCTGTTTTTCTCTTTGGTACCATTTGGCTCCAGATACTTTCTGTGACTCCAGGGAGACTGTATCAGTCTAGAAAAGACAATACATATCAGGCATTTTTCCCCCCCCAATGAAGTGTTGCGAACCGCTGACGGCCAAGCTCACTTGCTCGGGAAATACTGCTTCACTGCTTGCCCGTCACACTGTTCTCGGTACCTGCTGGGCACCAGCTGCAAGGGCAGGGGAGGTGGATCGTGCCACCCTGTCACCCAGGCTTTTGTCCAACTTCTCCGTAAGTCAGAGGCCACAGAAGACAAGAGCTGGTTCAGAGCCGGGGGACAAACCAGTCTCTGCCACCACCAGGAATCTGTCTCCGGCACCAGCGCAATAACTGGGGGTTACGGTTACGGTTCACTCCGCAGTGGCCTCTACAATCTGCCGGTGCCACGTCGGCCGCAGCCCGCGCCCAGGCAGGACTCGTCTCAAGCCGCCCCTGCAGGGAGACCCAGCTCGGCGCCGGGCACGAACCTCGAGCCGGGCTGTACCAGAAAGCCCAGGCACTTAGAGCCTGGGCAAGCAGCAATAAAAATTCAGAGAAATACCTGAAATCAAGAGTGGAAGTACCTTTCCCAAAATCTTGAGGATGTAATTTCCTGGGATTTCTACTTGCGGGCGGGGGGGGTTAACTACCAGCAGCCAGCCGTGGACTGTGACTGAAGTGCTTGCTCCGTCTGGTGGCAGCAGTTCTGAGTATTTTCTAGTTGCACGAGCAGCGAATTAGAGGGATGCAGGTTAGCTGGAGATGAACTCACGTATTGCTTGGCACAGCTTTCTGGGAATACAGCAGCACGCCAAACCGTCCCTCTTCCAATTTCCAGAAACGAAGGTAAAACTAGTCAGTGAACTCCGCAGGGTACCAAAGCCCAAATGGTTTCCACTGCAGCAGGAGTTACGAGGTTCTTCCCGGACAGAACCTTCCTACCTTAATGTAACAGTGCAAAAAGCAACCCAAAAGCGCAGATTCCAAAATACCGTAGATGTTGCCAATGAAAAGCTATGTCGAGTCCCGAAGAGAAGCCTAGAGATGATTTAAGCACTTTCATCAGTCAGACATTCAGACAGCATTCAGCTCCAAAGCATTCGCCATTTCAGCAGCTTTCTTACAAAAAGGTTATGTTTATTCTACAATACAAAACTCTACAGAGCCGCTCCCAACGCGCGATCACCTCGCAGGTACAAGCACCGATCGACAGCGCAGCGTCCGGCAGCCGACGCATTCCCACACGGAAGCCCTCCCCATTTCACAGACATTTGCTCGCAGACACGCGCAAGGAAAGCGGAACCCTCCCGACAGCAACCTCCGCGCAGCGGCTCCACGGGGCGCCGCAGGGACTCAGCAGCCACGTC